GCGCAGACTGCACGCACGTCTTCTTTGTTGAAACCAAACAGGACCTGAAGCACTTGCTGATGAAGCCTACCGCCTTCAATGTGCAGTACAACATCTGTATTTCAGCAAAATGACTTTCAAGTATAAAAGGCACAAGCTGTTACCAACATGCAAGAACTCAGGGAGATTGTTCCCCTGAGTGCTTCTTGAGGAATTAACTTGGAGAGCATGTCAGACCGCTAAAACAGCTCAAGGGACATCGACAGAAGGTCTGGTGGTGAGCACTGAAGATGGAGTTTCCTGCAGAATTCAGACCAAATGAGGGCTAAGAGGGAGAAAGGATTGTTTGTAGTCCAACACCGTCAACACAGAGCAAGCCCAACCACCAGGAAACAAGGCAGAAGGGTGGGAATAACATACACACAAACATGATCAACTGTTTTCCGGAAGCATAATCGGTGGTGATCAGGTTAACATTGTTCTTCTGAGACTATTGTGCATCAGTATGAAATAAAACAAGTGGGTAATTGTGAGCTATTCTAATTCTACCATTCCTTGTGTCCTTGACAATTCTCAGATTCTCAATATGCTAGATAGAGTCTTCAAAGTGGTAGTCTTGATAATGAAATGTTAATTGTCTATCTGAACACATAAAATATTTTATGTTCATGAGGTTTCTAGTGGCTAATCCTTTAGTAATTGCTTTCTATTTAAATATTTTTAAAATATTTTATCTTTAAAAGACAGATTCCAGAAATAACGACTAACCCGAGGACTCAAAGAAACCAAGTCTTCTTCACAAATTGGCCAAGTTCAAGTCAGGTGTAAGAAGTTGACAAAATGAGTCTGGGATGACTGGTCATGCTTCCAAACAGGGAAGCTGTCGAGAGCTGTAGGGTGATACCAAGAAGACTCAAGAGTCATCTAGAAGAGGTTCCCACTGGCCAAAGATGGGGTCATTTGAGCTTCAGTAACATCACTAACTACAATACATGCAAACATATATGTTGGACTCTGAGTTCATCATGGCATTTCAATATATAAAAAGAATGGGTCACCTTTGAAAGATAGATAGTAGGCTGTCAATTTATCACTATCTTGAAAATTGGTAAATAAATGAAAAGAATCAAGTATTTATCCTGCCTTTGGGATTCAAGCCTTCGGGACCTTCATTTGTGAACGAGGCACAAGACAACATGAAATGAAATGACTGCAGATACCATTAATAATCAGAACATGGAATATATAAACAATGAGTTTTAAAAATTCAAATCCCTAAAAATGAAATAGAACACATGAAGATCAATATCCTTGCATTAGTGGGCTGGAATGGACTTGTGGTGTCCATTTTGAATCAGATAATCATATGGTGAACTGCGTGAGGAATAACAACTTTAAGAAGAATGGCATTGCGTCCATCATCAAAAATAGCATTTCAAGATATGTCCAGAAAGACAGCCTGTCAATGAAAGAATAATTCCTATATGCCTACAGGGAAGACCAGTGAATACAACTATTACTCAAATTTGCTCAACAACTATGTGAAGAAATTAGATTATTGTCAGTTCCTGCAGCCTGAAAGTGATCAAATATACAATTGAAATGCGTTGATAATTACTGGTGGTTAGAACACAAAAGTTGGAAATAAAGGTGAATCAGCAGTTGGAAGATAAGGCCTTGGAATATAGAGGCAAAGCCAGAGATCACATGACAGAATTTTGTAAGAGCAATGACTTATTCATTGCAAATGCTTTTTTCCAACAATATAACCAGTAACTATAAACTCGGGACTCACCAGATGGGATGCATGGGAATCAGAGCTACTACATCCACTGAAAGAAACCACAGAGAAGCTCAATATCATCAGCCAGAACAAAGCAAAGAACCACCTGGAGAACGGACCACCAATTGCTCATATGCAAGTTCAAATTGAAGCTAAAGAAAATGAAGTAGAAATATGACCCTGAATAGATTCCACCTGAATTTAGAGGCCACCTCAAGGGCAGATTTGATGCATTAAATTCGAAAGACCAGACGAGTTGTCGGATGACACCGAAGACATCATACGTGAGGAAACTAAAGAGTTATTTTTTTTAAGTAAAGAAAGAAACAATCAAAATAGATGTCACAAAAGATTCTGAAATTGCTCTTAAACATAGAACAGCTAGGGAAGGTAGGGTAGAAAGGGCGAACAGATTACAAGGATCTACATATAACCTCCTCCCTGGGGGATGGATAACAGTAAAGTGGGTGAAGGGAGACATCAGGCAGTGTAAGATATGATAAAATAATAATACTTTATAAGATATCAAAGGTTCATGAGGGATCGGGGAGTGGGGAGGGAGGGGGAAAATGCGGAGCTGATTCCAAGAGCCCAAGTGAAAAGCAAATTTTTTGAGAATGATGGGGGCAACAAATGTACAAATGTGCTTGACGTAATGGATGTATGTATGGATTGCAATAAAAGTTGTATGAGCTCCCAATAAAATTATTTAAATTTTTTGAAAAATCACAATAAATACAGAAAATATTGGGGGGGGAAACAGAACAGCTAACAACAACAACAACAACAAAGAAATTATGAAGTAACAAAGCTGAGTGGAACATTCCCAAGGAAGGCTGGAAAGGACAAAGTAGACATGTGTAAAGACCTGGAAAGAAAGCCAAAGGAAAAATACTCAAGCAGAAACAAATGAGAAAAAGGTTCGAGCCTCAGGTTAAAAACTGACGTCTTTTGATGGGGGAATACTGATGGCCACAGGGAAATCAAGAGGAGAGAAGGACTATGTTGAGACACTGTACCAAAAGGAATGGGTCAATGTCTAAGCACTTGATCAAGAACTCGCGGAAGCCTTCACTGAGGGCATCAGTGAAAACCAGGCTCTCGGTTGGTGACAGACACCAACTGAAGTACTTCAACACACTGATGCAACTGATTAGAAGCATTTAAGAAATGTGGAAGGCAGCTACCTGGCCAGCCAACTAGAAGAGATCTATATTTGTGTGCATTCCAAAGACAGATGATACAATAGAATGCAGAGATTATCAAATATGATTAATATCACACATACTTAAAATAT